CGTATTTTCTATTCGGTGGAAATATTTCTTTTCTAGACTTTCAATCTTAGTTCTACAAACTCGGTATCGTTCGTTTCAATAATGTGACCTCAGCTGCACGCTTATTTTCAAGATATGGACTCTAAAACTCTTATATTTATCAAGCAAATATATATCTGAGGTGACAGCTGTACGAGCCAAAAGTAGGTAAATTTTTAACGAATCTGTGAAATTTTTTTTCGATTTTCTCATGAAATCCGGTGCAGCTGAGATCCTGTTTGTGCGTACTTTAATTTAAGCAATAATACTTTTGCAATCCGTACATCCAATACAGAGATTTTTCACCGAATGGAAATGTGGTAAAACAGGAGGCTTTAGCATCGCCTTAACCCTCTCACCCTGAATCCTTGTAGTCTATGGACTGTTTTGTACCGCATGACGTATTACTACAAGTTACGTACTCATCACCTTCTCGCAATCGATGATTCGTAATTCTAAATGAGTACAATTACTTTCATTTTTCACGTTTACGTAATACATAATACTCTATATGTCATCGAAAGTTTCACCGAGGTTCCACTGATGATAATAATATTGAAAAATGGAATTGTTGAGACTCATGTAAAACCTCAAATTTAAATCAAAAGTTGAACAAAAGATATTTGCTAATGCAAACGTGTAAATAGACAAATTTTTTTCAAATTAGTTTACGAGTTTATGATTTTATGACTTTTATAATGAGGATAGTATTATTAGATCGATTAATAAGATAAAACTGTTTACGCTATCAACATGTAATTGCCTCCTAAGCAAGTCTATATTTGTATATCTAAAACGTACTATATTTATTATAATTATTACAAGAGAACAGTTCAATCGCTTCCAACTTCTCTCATCATGAAAATAAATAATCAATATACTGAGTATCAATTGAATACGTAGCAAGACTTGCAGTAATAATTACTTTCGTTTTTCCGAGATAGTTTCGCACTGTTGGCTTGAACGAAAGTGAATGCATTAATATAACAGATACGGATAAGGATCACCATCATAATTCTAGCTAATCTATGAAAGGATCACTCGTGCTGTTGATCAGTTCGCAGGAATCCTCCGCGACATTAGAATCTCAGTGCCACGATTCTAAGAGGATTCATCTGCGTCGTAGTACCATATTTGCCGAGCCAAGCATCAAGAGCTCGTAGTCGAATTCAACGTGGTAACTCGATAGATGAATCGAACGGCGCGCACGTGAGATATTCCATGATGTAAATAACGAATACGAGATCGTCGATGTGCAGAGAATATTATGGCTCCACTTTATAAATCTTAAGCGATTTGTTTAGGTTTCACTTTTATACATTTTAATGATTCGATATTGCGTATTCGCGTGATCATTATAGACGCATTCATCGACGGCTGTAAAGAGAAGATCGCAGATCTGTTCGTGTCTGCACGTTAAATCGAACATTTATGATCGAACAAATGCAATAAATTGCTGCATTAATTATCTCGCTAAATTTGTATTTAATTTAATACATTTTACGTGTCTCAAATAGTCCACTCAAATTTATATGTTAATTCAACACAAAATGAATATGATAGAAATTTAACATAAATATCATTTAAGAAGATAAACACAAAAAAGATGATACTAACACAGTTTGTAAATAAACCATGGAAGCATATTCTTTTCAATAAAATTAATATTTATACATTAAATTAACACATATTCATTCGTCTTAGAATTTATATTTTAAAATATATTATTTTTATTTACTTTTTTTTTTATTTCATAAGTTGTGTTATTTTGACACAAAGAAATTTTGAATATAAAGAAATTTAACACAATTTAAATAACAGAATCACATTATGTTAAATTAACAAATATGTTGAAAAATTCAATACAAATATTCAAGATTTGAGTGGACCGTTTCCAATACCGATTCAAAATACTTTTTTTTTACTAAAAAAAATCGATAATACACAGTATCATTAATTCTACGTTCATATATAATATAAAAATGTTTACAAGGCAAACGTTTTTATATACCAACTGTACCGAATTTACGAAAGTCACTTGTGAAGCCATTATCAGAGATTATTCCGCGTACGTGTGTATACTACAACGAGTAAAGAATGATCGGTACCAGGGTTCCTCTCGAACGTTGATTCTCGAGATGTGTAGCGGGGTCCCTGGAGGCACGTCAGTTTCGATTATCCTCGGCTATCGTTAGGCCCCGTTCAGCGCGTGCTCGCTCGCGCGAACGCAGTCGCGGTCCTCGAAACGTCAGACTGTCGGGGCCGTAAATTTTTTCGCGGGCGCCCACCTCTCGTCATGCATATTCATGAATACTCGAATGTAATCGAACGCCGCGCGAGCGAGCCAACGTAGAAGGAGACTGGAGACGTGGAGACGGCGGGGTCCTCGAGCGCTTCGATCAGCCGTCGACTCAATTCAAGAATGACGAGGGCCAACCATGAGAGCGTATATAGATAAGAGCGGCTCAAGGATCACTGCTCCTCTTGGCAAACCATGTCGTGGAATACCGAGGGACGGCCGTGCACTTTATGCGAATCCCGAGACGACACGCACGACATCGATTCTTATCTCGCGAAGGATACCGCGCGCCACGCAAAAAGTACAGTACGAGCGCGACGCAGTGATGCCGTTTCCGAAACGACTTACAGTATCATGACATGATCGAACTTTGGTTTCAAACAACCTTCGATATCGATACCGGATACCGGCGGATCGCTCATTAAATATATCGAGACGTTCGCGCGGTCATCAAGCATCGATGCAAAAATTTATGAAAAGCCCGTTATCCATCTTAATTATCGCGGGATGCTCATTAGGGTACACAAGAGAGTCGCTCTACGGTGAGTCTTCATTTTTCAGTTGCAAAATAACTTCCCAAAGTGAAGTGAGAGGAAATTGCGACTCGTGACATGGATGAGGAACTTTTCTACCGCGATGCTGGAGTCATGGTTCTTGCTCTCTGTCAAGTGTGAGTGAACGATGTGACAGCCGGAGGAATAACTTCTGTCACGAAGCTGGTGAGGAGTGGCGCGGTGTTCGAGAGCTTCGTGACACCGCCGATCCGCGAAGTGGAAGATCGTATCGTGTACGCGCGAGATAAGCGTGTCGGGTTATCTGTAATTAATCAATTTGCGTCTACTAGGCGGCAGCCTGGTAATTACGATTCTCCGTTTTATCGCGAATTATGAAACCATTCATCGCGCGGTTCCCGAGCGCGAGCGAGAACGGGGGGACCATCTGTGGAAAGTAGACCGCGCCCCAGTTCTACGATGAAAGGTCGTTACTGCCGAGCGAAATGCCGCGCTTCTAAGTGAAGAAAAAACGAGGGGAAGCGTTTACACCCAATAGGACGGATCAGTGGATAATTTCAGTGGACACTCGAAAATCCTGACAACCACGCCCGTGACTTCGCGGAAATAGCAAATGTTAAGTGGTCCGTAAAAACTATCATTGCAAGATCTAGTATTTCGCCTCAGAACGAGATAAAGAAAGATCGAAAGAAAGAAAAAGAGACAAGGAGGAGAGAGAAAGAATGGAAAAGAGAAAAAGAGAGAACGAAAAGAAGGAAGGGAGGAGAAAGTATAAATACTACAAACACTAGAGAGGGGTGGAGGATCAACGCTAGCTTCAAGGGGTCATTATAGAACTTTCCTAGCTGGCGCGCCGTCTCTCCCTACTCGCTAATGCCAGACTGTCCGGATTGACTGATGCCAGGTCATTCAAAGCCTTCTAGATCGCTTCGTTGCCTCACTAACGTAGAAGTCGGGAAGATATTGCGCGATTGATGACAGCGTGCACCATTACAGAGTTGGCTTTCAAAAGCCATTAAAAATAGTAGCTACGTCCAACGCAATTCGTGCAACAATCTAACCGAATTGAAACATTTATCAGGTTTTTTCCTTATTTCAATGAATACGCGGATCATCGTATATGGTCATTATAATTTAAAGGAGTTAGCTGTATAGCTCTTTCTATTTTTCCAAGTAAGAATTGTGACAGAACAGAAACATGTTTCGAACAAAACCATCGCAGAAAAGTTTATAGGAAAACATTTGTCTCCAATGACAATCGTTGTGCAATCTCGCGCTTTAATTAAGGCATTAAAATTCGTTTGACGCGCTTGATGCGGCACACGAATAATGACGTAAGTGCATTACCTACTATTTTTCCTCGTGGAAAACCGCATCGCGGTAAAAAAATCTCCTTGACTCACCTGTGCGTACTCAGCGCATATGTCGATTGACGAAACGTAATTAACGACATCCTCGATGGTCCAGCGATTTACGGCTTGCCCATCGCCGCAAGGTATGTGGCCATAGAGAGTCGGACACCTGACCGGCGGAGGTGTGGTTGGTCTCGCGGTAGGTTTTGGCTTGGGGGATACGCTTTCGGATCTCCTTGTTTCCGTCCTTTGTCGCTTACGAGGTGCAAAACCACCAGGACTCGAAAGGTCCAAGGGACTCGTCACCCCCGTGTCTCTTTTGTTCGCGCCTATGTTTCAAAACAAAATAAAATGTTGCTAACGTTGTCTAATCTTCCTCAAAATTGATCAATGATATACCACATAAACATACATATCAATATAACACATAAAATATCTTATAATTCGATTAGATGCACTCAGTATGCACTGATATACATTAAAGCCATTATACACAAACTGATGTAAAAACGTGTATTTAATATAAATATAAAAACGCATTAACCAAGAAATCCTCGATGTATTTTATTATGCTGTTAAGTAAAATATGTTTTATAATTTAAAAAATTTGTATTTCACTTTTGCACAGATTAAATCAGTTTACGACTTTAATATGCAGTACGCACTACGCACTAATGCGTCAAACCAAATTCGCTATTAAAAAGCATGGATTTTTATCTACGAATGCTTTGATCAATCTAGAATTGTTTTTCCTTCATAAGAATAGATTGAATATCAAGGTATCGCTTATATATAAATGTTAAACAATTAAAAATTGAAGAAAACGCATAAAAATTAGTACAATTTGCGATTAAAAAATAATTCTGATTTCTTTTTTCAATCATAAAGTAATGTTGATCTCTAATATATCATTTCCTCTCTATTTAAAAATATAGTACACTTAAGGCTCCTGAGTGGTCACGGCGGCCATGTTGGAATCGTGACGTCAGAAGCGAGGAATGACACGTTAATTTATGCTGCAAACCATTTGTAAATAAAGACAATTTGGATAAATTTAAATGACGAGATTGCTTTAAAATATCTGTAAAAATGGGCAGAAACTGTCCTTTTCTTCCTTAATAGTCAGTAAATGGTCGTAAAAGGTAGATAAAGTGAACCTAATTTCGGACAGAAACACGGGTTTAAACAGTTGTTGAAATGAATGAAATATACGCTTTTATATATTAAATTCCAGGAGAACTATAGTTTCTGCCCATTTTTAGGACTTGCGTAAGTACAAAACACGTCACATTTTCAGCATTAAGCAAATAATAACGAAATGGTATGCAACACAAATTTTGTCGTCAAAACGTCACTTTTCCACGCTTATAAGTTCAGCCATTTATCGTGGCCAGGCACTGTAACACACACACACACAAGCACGAACCTATGCACATGTGCTTTCGGCGCACCGAGAGCACATGTACATGGGCCAGATCGCCGACTGATTTTGAATCGCATGCGACTACTCAGGAGCCTTAATTCCTATGACACTTGCCTTTGAGATATGTTTCCAATTCTGCAGCGCTTTGTGCCGCATTGGCAGTTCGCACCATGTGTAAAAGAGCCTGGGTGGATGACATATCGATCATAGGCGGAAACACAGGACTGCCGAAGAGACTATCCTGCTTTTGCTCTTTCGGATCTTTGTTGGAGAGCGGTGAGGTCGTCGGAACAGTCGATGGTTGCGGAGCCCCTAACGGCGCCATTAGACCAACGAACGGCGTTGCTGCAGCCTTGAAGGCTGGAAACCTCGGGTCTAAACCCGGAGGATAACCGTTTCTTGGTGTGCTAAAGTAACTGAAATAATCAATCGTCTTTGATCATTAACTTTCTATTATAAATATATAAAAATACTTGTCAGTGCTACTATTACAATCGCACGTAAAAACATTTCAAATTTTTCAGATTCAAGAATATTTTTTTCATTTTTCATCAAATATAAAAAATACTTTTCGTGATAAAGATGATATATATGATATAGTAAATTATGAGTTTTCATTTCTTGACATGACTCAATGTCAAACGAGAAAATAGATTCTTCTATTTTCAGATTCAACAGATCTAAATGCTGATTAAATTTAGCAAAGCGCAAATAGACATGTGATAAATTAATGAATCGAACCTTCTTCTTCAAATAGTAAGAATCGCATTGTTAAAATCTATGTTCAATACTTAACTAAGCAATTAAATAATCATTTGATCTGTTTCCAACCATGTGCCAGAAGGTACAAAGTTAAAAATCAACGTACAACGCGACAACCGGTTTCATGCAAGAATACATTAAGTCCCTCGAGTACTCTCTACGTCTTATGAATCTTAATCACACGAATCATCTATTTGCAACCTTCAAGTCTTAATTCTTTTACATCGTCTCGCAGTGTTCGTCAATATATTTGCATGTTATGTTCCAACAAAAAATATTCAAAGACGTTTGCAAAATCTTTCGTTAATCATACGAGACATTAAGACAAATTTTATGACACAGGCTCGATACAACAGTAATGAAGCAGTATTTGCTTGTCAATTTTTAGTTGGCATGTCAATGTATGACTTATTTAAAAAGAAAATCGAAAGTGATGTTAATGTTGTAATGTATGCCTCTCCGTTATGTTAATCTCGCAACCTATTTACAGAGATTATAACTCTACGATGAGTAATCAAAAGTGATCAATAAAATGAGATGGACGTACTCGTTGGGGTTGGCGTTGTTGTACTTGGCGGCGAGACTCCTCATAAAATCACTATAGTTTCGCCCCATCATCTGTTCCATGTGCTTGAGATGATGAGGTGGCGGTGGACCATCAGGTCCTCCCAAGGGCGTAGCATTTGGCGGCGTCCCCGGGTGACTCGATGAAGAAGGCGTTACGCTCCTCGACGACGTCGAGTTATTGTCAGGCGTGAGTCGTTCCGTTTTAACCTGCAAATGATAAGATTGGCTTTCTTTAAACGAGACATTACCACGCGCAACCGGATGCAATAAAAAGGAGCAAAATGCGCAGTGATTAACCGGTAATAAAAAGAATGGAGATATAAACGGAAGTATTAATTAGTAAACGGAAACAACCCGGGTGCGATAGAATTGTGTTTAACGCTATTTCATTTAACGCTAAAAAGGACAGATTAATAATTATTTGCAAATGCAAGCTTTTTTTTATCGAGTACATTCACTTAAAACATTAGATTAATATAAATTATATTATAATTTTAATATTTTTCGCAATAAATTTATTTAAGGTTTTCAGCACATTGTCAATTTAATTTAACTTGTGATATTATTGCAGTAGTTTAATTGCATTAGATAAAGTCCGGAAAAATTTCGGCGTGAAGTTTGAATAACTAAATACAAAAATATGATCTATACACTGAGAAAAAAATGCTGTTGATTCAATTAAAGTCTATATTACGGGCTGTCACTAACATAAGTGATTAATTCATGCATATATTTTATTGATATAAAGGCTTGATTATTGAAATAATAATATATGCCTTTGAGTCAATAAAAATATACATGAATTAATCACTTATGTTAGTGACAGCCCGTAATATAGATTTTAATTGAATCAGCAGCATTTTTTTCTCAATGTATGCATGTACATATATAGGATATAGATAATAATTCACTGGAAATTATTTAGGCAAAAAAGATCTAGCTTTGACCATCATAGGCCTGAATATGATTATACTTAGTGTTTAATTCTCTTGTCGGTCCGAATAAAATCTTATTATTGATAATAATTTTAATATTATTTAAGATATATTTACAAAAACATTTTGTAATATTTCATCATAAAAAAAATATCCCGCTTCAATTAATTTTCTATTCAAACTTTAAATTTTGGAACAGTGTTATGTTCGCGTAGGGTAACTGCGGGTAATACGTCAGTATGAGGAATATATGCCACTGGTTGTGTTTAACAATGATATCGATTAGCAGCGCTTGCGTTAGTGTCACAAAATTATTTACAATTGTGTGTTCAACGTGTTGCATAAGTATCAAGAATTTCCTGGCAACAGTATTGTCTTTATGAGATAAATATTATGATGGCATGGTATATGTGCTTCTTATAACTTTTATAGTGCTTTATGTAAGTTATTATTTAAACATTACACAATATTTAGCTCGATTAACTTGTTAATCTATTAATGTAGGTTAAAATGAAAATATTCAGTATATCGTTGATTCATTTTCTTAACAGCCGTATTGTACAGGCTCATCATAAGGTAAAATGGCGTTTTGAGGCAATATGTCACTACTTTTGTTAGAGTAAAATGCCAGTAGTCATCTTCTCTAATATATAGGTTAGAACGCTATAAACAAACGTTTTGCCATATAATTCCGTTGTGACAGGATATTCGTATTGACAAACGCTTAAATGTTTATTTATTTGCTTCTTGTATTATATTAATTTACTGTTCAATTCAAAATTCTGAATAGAGAGTAGTTTTTTAATCCATTTTTTTTTAATGGAATTGAATTTTCTTGATTACTGGAACTTAGACTACTTGTAACACTATGTAAATATATAAAATAAAGCAAATATTTATTTATACGTTTCATACTTACACATTACATAACTTTTACTTTAAAAAATGGTTCAAAATGTAATTGGATAATATCTAATTGTTGCAATAAATGGATTCACGAGGACTGTTCGTAGAAAGATATATTTATGCTGTTAAAAACGTGTCTCAAAGTTTATTTTTCATGTTGTATAACTTAATCTATCAAAGTTATTACTTATATCCTTACATTGTTTATATTACCTATATTATGTTACAAATGTTTATTTTCATCATAAAAATCATTAATAATGTGTTCTTGCAATAAAAAAAAGAATAAACATTATACTTAGCATTTTTTTGTATGTGGCATATTACCCGCATGATGGCATATTACCCATTTTTTAGCACTTTTGTATTTCTTTATTTTTAATAATAAAAAATAAAAATATTCGATTCCAATCGTATACAAATAATAGATAAAGGATGGAAGAAAAAGATTAGTATGTAATTACTTTAAATTGAACAAATAATTACTCAAAAATCTAATTTCGCTTAAGTGTGGCATATTCACACCCCACTTACCCTATATACTTAGACGACACAAGTAGGATTAATAATTTGAAATTGTTAAGTGTCCTCGCGTAAAGTTGTCAACGGTACGTCTACGGATTACTCATTTTATCTTATCCATGGCAACAATAATTTTACTATCTTTATTACCGGTGTGCTTCATGTTTAAATGCTGAAGGCCACAGAAACAATGCATCTTTAAAGAAAAAAAGAAACGCTTTAGCCTTTCCTCAACATTGTTCTCTGTGTGGAACTAAAAATTGCTATGTTCAAAAAGATGCATTTAGAATATGTGGATAATAATACTAATAAATAATTAATCCAAAAATGGCATAAATGACTATTTTCCATATGATTAGTTACACACGTAGCGAAAATGTTCATTACAAATAATTAAAAATAAGAGAAACAACGCGGGCAACACTGAACAACGAGCTGAGACAGATAATTATCAAGGATAATTATTACTGTTTTTATAATAAGACCAAGTCTATTGTATCACAGATTATCATATCTTTGATTTACTGCCAGCGCGACTATTTAGCACTAATAAACAAGCTTCATTTGTATACACAAAAAAATTGTTCCAGCCTTCGAAGCTTAGTTATCAACGATGGACCACGCCTTCGACTGTGAAGGACGCTTATCGGCAGTTGCTGAGCAATATGTCTCGCTCGGGCGAGATGCGTGGCGGTAGGAAATATCCCGGGTGCATTAATTCCCGGGAACAGATTGCATCTGAGATATGGTAATGAAGGCAACGCGTGGCGTAAGAGTTGACTCCTCTTCGCTCGGCACGGCGAGAGAGCGCGCCGTGACACTAAGAAGAACGAGAGTCGATTGGCGTAGAATAGGGTTCCCGAGAGCGCAGTCCGAAGACCGCGGCAGAGGCTACGGTAAATCTCTTTCTCGCCTCCAGACCTCTTCCTGACAAGGGACCGCTTCAGGCTCAAGGCGCGGGCACGATCCTGTATAGTGTATATATACCTACATTTCGAATGAGTCTCGCTCGGTGCGACCAATACGCGCAACCAGGTCTCGATAGAAAAAATACGCAAAGACATGACAACTGTACGAGCAAGAGAGCCTCGAAATTAAAGCGATCGTTCTCTTTCAATGTAATTAATCATCATTCGATTGTAGTAGCTGCATAAAACATACGTTGTTAAATAAAACAGCAATATAAACCGTTACAAATAAATAATTAATATTAATTTTCATATAAATATTTTGTACACATCTTTTAAACGAAATCTTAGCATTTTTTTCCTTTTAATGGCTGCGCTCAGCTTTGTAAAATTCTTTAATAAGATTGATTTTGTCGTCAGTACCTTACGGGATCCAAATGTATAATAAGGTAGTCATATTTAAAGAATTTTACAACAGTTGCAAAGTTGCTTTTTTTCGCTAAACGCAGCAAATATAAAAAAAAGAGAATATCTCGCAACAAAAAATCATATGCGAGTATAAGATACATGACGGTTTTTCATACTGTAAATTTTTTTCGCATATTCTCCTAATTTTTTTCTAAATAATCTCAAACGAGAAAGATTAATCTTCCTCTATTCATACTTATCGATTCTCTTAATTCGGTTCTAGTGGATTACGGATGCCAAAAGTCATAAGTCATGATAAAGCTTGCCGCATGGGAGATTAATTTCTCGAGTTGCTACTATTCCTCAGAGAATACTATCTTTCCTATTTGTATAGCCTGCGGACCTGAGCTACGAGAAATTCTTGCGCGTCATGAATCGACTGTTCTTTTTACCAATGATGATCAATTTTTTACCATCGCAGCTCTAAGCATCGTTAAGCTATCGTCAAAGACTACTCTTTTTTTTCTTTCTTCTTTTAGTCAAGTCGTTTACAGAAGCGCCCTGCCGGTCGACGGATGTCAGCGGCGGGATGACACTGCGGCTTTCGACGCGGTTGACATAGTTGCTGCATGGTTAGCTTTGAACGGGACTCTCCGTGTACACGTGTCCGGGCTACCGCTCGAACTACAGGAGCGATGGACTCTCTCGTCGAGGATATCTCCCGAGACTAGCGCACGTGTCCCGAAGTGGTACGCGAACGCTCAAACACTCCACTTCACGGAAGAAGTCAAGCGGGTCTCTCTCTCTCAAAAAATTTGTACGACAAATCTCGCGTCCTCGCGGCGACTCGCGTCCTTCTCGTCGAAAGAAAGAAAAAAAAGGGGAAAAAGAATAAATAAAAATTCCGAACGACGTTCAGTCACGCTACGTCAATACAGTAAGGCGAATGTCGTGTTTGCCTACGTACACGTAGAAGTTTTGTGTACCGTGTCAAAATTTAATTCCATCGTGGACTTTTTCAAAAGTGAGTAATCAGAGATGAAAGAGCAAAAGTACGATTCAAAGTATAGATATTAGATGTTTGTAAAAAAGGTGTTACTCACTTGGGTAGTATCGAGACCATTCTGGTTTTGTCGCCTCCTACCACGTGGAGGTCTGGGGGTTGCCGCACCGGACAGATGGGTGCCCTGAGGGCTTCCCCCCCTGGCGTCGATCGCTGTGTTTGCTGCCAGGGTGGCCCCGTCGTTGTTTTCCGTGTACGTACCTAAATCCGCCGCCTCTCCACGGTCGCCACCGCGTGGTCCTGTCCCCGTGGACACGTTCTCGCCCGACACCTCACCTGAAAACGAAACACACACACGAGGGGATATATCAAATTTCGATCCGCTTTTCAAAAGTATTAAGCGCGCGCGAGATCTTCGTCCCTGTATAACACGCTTCTTAGCTCGCTCGGTTTTATCAAGTTATATACGAAAGATTAAACCACGTATTTAACCAAGACATAAGACGCGATTTTAAGAAGCTGTTAAGAGATTTCAAATGACCAGAGCAATGACCCTGGTAGAGCACACTCAACTCCAAATTTGGACTTTTGACGAGAAAATAAATTCGCCATATTTTCAAGCACATTTGTGTCCCCTCAGGATGGCTCGAGTTTCGTAATAATGCGGCGCGGCGGTCCTCGCGTCTTGCGTCGTAAAGCTTTCTGAACATCTCGCCGTGTAAACGGCGTCTTTCGACACAGAGGGATTTTAGAATGAAATACGTTAAGAGAAAGAGGGATAATCGTATAGGACACGATTGCACACGGTGGCGGTGCTAGCCATTCGCACGCGAGATTTACGCTCAATAAATGGCCTCGTCCTGGCGCCATTATCTTCTTGATCAGAGACGCGTATCTACCGACGTAGAGCGAAACGAAAAACAGCGTAAAGGTGCGGAGAACGAAGAGAACCGACGGAAGAATCGAGGAGGTCACTGTCCACTGCGACTACCTAACATATTCAATAAATTCTTGTCATCGTTAAACGCCTGGAATTTTATGGAGGTAGTAACTCGTCTGTACCGCCGAATTTACCGGCCGATACGATCGGCCGCGATTAATGCAGCGATGGTGCCAGCAACGGTGTCAGCAACGGTGCCAGGAAAAAATACGAGAACTTTGTATTTCGTAGCTCTTTTCGCGCGATATTTCGTACATCGGTATTTTCATTGCAACAAATCTTCCTTGCGTGCGATTATAATTTCATGTAGCGTTTCGTTATATCAACAATTGTCCGTAACAAGTATTTCACAGATAATTAAATAATGTTAACCGTTTTCCATAGTAAAGTATAAGAGATTCTCAGTTAATTGATTCGCGCTTGTGTCCGAAGATTTTTGTCCGAAGTATATCCACAATAACGGAGAACAAGGGTGTGTTACTCGTATAAATGTCCTCGTTTTAAAATCGACAGCATCGGAAGTACGCAAACGGATACTGCGACTATTTTTATAATGCGTCAAGTTAGCACCTTCGACAGACTCTCAGCTCGGTCGCTATCTCGGATTATATTCTACAATCCGGTTGTAGAAACGGCTTCACGGCGTCGAGCGGAATACGGATCGAGGGTAGCGATCGTAAAAGCCACTTCTATGACACTCACTGCCAAATGTCTTCATTATTTCGAGTTAAAATATTTACAGCTGCCCATAAAAATTCCATTAGGCACTGTTTGCTAGTAGGAAAACCATCGCCCTCCAAGAGGTGAGGCGTTCGAAGATGCTTTCGACGCACCTCGCCATAAATGACATCCAAATATAGTTATAAAATTGGAAAGTATGCGGGCAACAAACATCGTACGCATCATTCCTTGACGAATTAGTCACTAACAAGAACGATATAACGGTGCATTAGACGACACGTTTGACGAGGTTTTCGGAATATATAACTTAATCAATTTTTAATTAATTTCCATAAACGTCGTTGGCTGAATGATTTGTGGACTGCTAAACATTTTTTATAGTAGCCTATTAATTACACAATAAAACGAAGGAAACGTAAAATACATGTTTCGATGAAAAGTATAACTACAATTTAACTTTATTAAGTTGTTGAAATCATAACGTACCAGAGAAATATAAATCTCGAATTCCTTGAATATAAATTTAATAGGAATAACAAGTATAAGAAGAATATATTGACCATTATTTCAACATTTACCTTTTGACGGATTCTATAATCATCGCGTTCCGCATAACAAGATTTCTTTTTCACATTTTCTCACGATTTTTTTTGCGAGTTGGCGGCGGTAGCGCTTCGATGGCGCCTACGATAAACATCGTAACTTCAGGAACTTCCAAAGCAGGGAGTCATTGTTTAAAGATCGTCCGCGTCTTGTTGTCTAACTTTGGCTTAACGACATTTACATAGTGGTGTAAAAATGATATGCAGCTGCACTCGTGGGATTAGTTAAGATTCGAACTGAAAGATAGAAATATACAGAAGAGTGTCTCTTTAGTTTTACACAATTTTGTCACAAGAAAATACAAATTGGTTATAAAACAATATAATAAGTTAACAACGGAATGAGATTTTCTGTAACAATCTGATAAGGAGACGGCCAAATAGTGTACATACAGATTTAGCCTAACTTTAAATGTTTAATACTTACTCCGCCTCCCACAAATTTATGAACAAGTGGCACGACGCAATATTTAAGTATTTACGAGAAAGGAAAATGGATAAAATTAACGGATTTTGGCCTAAATTACTAAATTTTTTTCTTGCAAGTCAAATATTAATTGAATTATTAAATTTTCAAATGCGAGTTTAAAAGAGAGATTATAAGACATTGTTTTGAAAAGAGCTTAAATTATAATATTTCTTTCATTTTTTTTTTCAGTAATATTGCTAAATATATTGCACTACATTTATCGTTTAAAAATATTACAGCTGGGTAGTTTGCAATAAATAATATTCCCTGAAAAAGTTTGTCAGAAGATTTCGTTGCGTGCAAACGAGGGGTGTTAACAGCAGCGAAATACCTATGGTGAATACTGAGAGCTACGTAAAGTCCGAGTGTGAAATATCGTAACGACGTGTTAAAACGAACTAATGTGCAGCGCACGTATCTCCCACGACACACCCGCTTCGTGAAGCCCGTGCTTCGAGGTTGCATTCGCCAATGCAACGAAAATACGACGCCTGAATCACGACACTTTGACTCAACGACAAAGTGTTAGATCAATTTATAAACTAAAAAAATAACAGGCGAAATTCAAAACTTCTTTTCCCTTCTATTCGTCTCACATCAGTATTTTTAGTTCAACGCGACGTACATTTGGCAGAAAACAGAAAGTATAACGTGGAAAATGTGCGTGGGAAAGAAAGCGATAACAACCCGCTGCCGTGTCGCACAAAAACAGTAGCTCGCTTCTTGATTTCATCCGATATATCGCGTATCTTGAGACACGCGTGTAATTTACCGGTTTTAGTGAAGCTGCCTGGATAACTATTTCGTTCCCGGGCGAGACAGGTTTCCACGAGAAAGAAAGCCATCGGAAGACACCGAGATGGGACACCAGGAACTTATAGTAATAGCGTACAGCATAGTCATAAATTATCCAACGCGACCATGACTAAAATGAATTGACCTTCGAGGTCGCGTACGAAGTGCCGTCGCGTCGGGAATAAAACCGGCGGCCTCTCCGTTGGATCGCTGTTAATTATTCCGGCGTTAAGACTTTAAGAAATTTCACCGAGCTGGGATTTTTTCCACGATCTCGTGGACGAGATTAGAAGCGGACCGGGAAAGTTGCGTAATATATCACGCGATATAGGGATCGATCCAGCATCCATCTCCGGCACAGCGGAAAACGACAATAGGACGCTTCCGCGCGACGCATTGTTCAAAGAATGACCTAAAGATTCATCAGCGCGAGTTCTCATACATGTGAACACGTGTGAATTAACGTATTTAATTGAAAAGTCGAGATACGAACGGAAAAACACTGACGAGCAATAGTATACTAAACTACATTAATAAAATCTAACGGACATTAAATTGTTCTTTGGCGTCTCGACATATTATTGATCAAATATGTAAAAATTGCTATTTGCGAATTTGCGAAGAGCATTACATTACGCTAGGGATGTCAATATCGAGCAAAAATATCGACTATGAATATATTCAGATATTTTAAAACTATTTATATTCATTCCGAATGAATGGACATTATATCGAATATATCGCGCACAGCGAATAGATAAAAAAAATCTCTCAATTTTTTTAAAAATTTACGAACGAAGATCTGTGATATTTGATCATTTGATGTAGGGAAGACTCCGTTTATTTATAGTCCCAATCAATATTATAAACAATAAATGTAACTTCTTCTTTTATGTCTCAATAACTAATCACTAGCCCTTAAGTATTAACTCAAAAATCTAAAATAAAAACAAAAGTTAGGAAATATAATTGGTGGAAAATGTATTTAATAATCATTTTTTTTATAAACTCGACACACCTTACTGAGCGCTCTTGCATCTAATTGGTATGTTTCGTTGGATCTAAAAGTACAGACCAACCAAATGCAAAAGCTCACTGAGCGCTCAGTCAGGCTCAGCGTAGTACCGACCTACCGACTACTGAATGCACTCAAAACTCCTAAAAGTATTCATAAAAATGGAGAGCGAATATGAATAATAAAAAAATATCTAGTCAATATTTTATTAATAATTTTTTATTCGATATTTTTATATTGAGCAGCAAAAAATATCGAATATTCGATATTATCGAATAACGATAAAAATCCCTACATTACGCTCCATTATGCAGATAATATTTCAGAGAGAAAGAATTCAGTACTGCATCCGCTATACTCAAAGTCGATGCTGTTCAACTTTCCCCTTCATGCTCTTTTTTATATATATTACCTACCGTAACAACGATAGATCGAGTTTCACGGGTTTGCGATCGATCCGCTCGAAAGCCGGATGCGGGCGCATACACGGCGTTTCTTCCGCTCGCAGCCTAGCCGGCCTCAGCAAGGCTGGCCCACTACCCACATTCACTTCGCTGCACTCGCGCTCGAGCGAAGCGAGTGGGTCTTCGTGTGTGCATATGCGTGAAGTGTACGTACGCACGTCGTACGGACGCGTACGTCCGCATCCGGGGTCGGCCCGACGCTTAATGAACGATCAAACCCGGTTCTACGCGTCGCACGGCGCGTAGCCCATCATTACGAGCTACTGCAGCGAGGAACCTCGCCGTTCCTTTTTGTCCTCTCCATTTTCATATGCCTGACTTTTCCTCCGTGACCTCGCATAGCGAACTGCTGAATGAAAGATGATTCTATTTTTCCGCCACGTGCGCGAATCATCTCCGGGATCTAGGCAATCCTGCTGAGTCAAGCGAATTCAATAGTACCGCGGGCGATCTCATCTTGTTCGCGAAATGAAAAAACGCTGGAAATTTTCTTTTCTGCCGCTAATGAAATATGTATCGTACATTCAATGGAAACATGTCGTAGCTCTGAATAATTATAATTTTGTAATGAGAATTACAAAATTATAATTATTATAAGTATTTTTAATCTTTGATTAGAGAAACTAGACATTATAATAACATTACCGCGCAATTCACTTCTCCAAAATAAATTAATCATTTATCTCCTTTGACAAAAATTTATGTTCTTTGATAACTAATGGCAAGTATAATAATATAAAATTATTTCAGGAGAAATGATAATCAGTTATATCATTCTGAAAAGCATGCAAAGATCGTAACGTACGTAACATATTATACATTATCGTCATCATTAATTATCACTGGTTTATCGCAACAGTTTATTGTCGCCTAATTTATAGCTCATAATACATAACGATGATTGTAATTGACTTCAACGACCTTTAAAGATTGCAAGTGACAGTTCAAAGAGAGATCAGAATTAATATTGACTATTATTGTCCATTTGCGGGATTAATTTTTCTAAAACGCTGAAAGTTGTGACTAACTAAACCAAGAGTTACATGAGATAATTTCAGTTATATAATAGTCACTTCAAAGCAAGTAACTGTTAATGAAAAACTCTTGGAGCAACCGCAAATACCTTTTCTCCTTCACATAAAGAAATAGATAAAAAAAAGTTATATTACATACATCATGTCCCCCAAAAATGAAATAATTTTCTAAAAATAAAGTAATACATTTATCAGGTAGATCTAGTTGAGAAAATAAAACACACGAGTATATATACGAGACGGAGAAAAATGTACAGTATTATACACTAGAATTCTAGTAAACTTTATGGAATTATCAAGTTCATATAGGGATACGTGCCTACTTATGTAAAATTTTCTTTACATTTCTGGTAAATGAGATTGTCGTATGATAATCATTCTTACTTTATTGACAATAATTTTTTCTTTAGCATTGACAAAATTTACTTTACTGCATAGAAAATATAAAAGTTCTGAGAGTTGTTTGTGCTCGTCAATCTTGAAAATAGTACGATTTACTTTACTGTAAGTATAATTTACTTTACTGAAAGTATAATTTATCGTACTATAAGATAATAGTCACTTGAAATGATCACTTGAAATGATACTATAATCATAACGTATTTTTTATCTTAAATCTCTCCGGTATTTTTACCTACTTTTAGGCAAATAAAATTTCTCAAAAATTCGGTAAAAATAGCCAGAATATTTTTACTAGTCTTGGAAGGTATCCATCTCTAAATTATTGTTCTCTGTGTATCTTTCGTTGTATTAAGACGGTCCTCCATAATTCCTACATACACTACGACAAGGATAATACCTGGCGTCCATGACGACCTTTAAAGGCCGGACCGACGTGCGCGCGCGGCGAAGAGAGCGCGAGAGACCGAGAAGAGGCAGGAAGAGATTACTGTCGCGGCGTTAACACGATCAACGCCGTCAGCAACCACGCGGTCGTTGCTGGATCTCCTCTCGGCCGCTGTAAACCCACCGTAAGTTATGCGCGACCGGGAGGGCCCCCAGTCTTGCGCGCCATTAAAGCGGGTTATGCCCATTTCAAGTGGAAAATCATAAGCACCGCAAATACGCCGTCATTACTGCAGACGCGCTACGAGCTCGCCACTTACTTTGTAATCATGACTAATGCATAATGTAGTAGCGACCGTGCCGCACACGCTTCTCACTCCGTCTATGCACGCGACTCCATGTGTGCACGCGGCGTGCGTACACCTACGCGTACGCGCGTATGCGTACGCCCGCATCGCCGAATGCGATCTCGTCGGCTAGGCAGTTACGCGAGGGTGCCTCTTGGATACCAAGGTGGGCGATGGCACCCTTCGTGAAAAAGCGAAAAGTATTCAGAGGGACAGAACGTGCTTGCCGCGACGCTATCACGCGGAATTGGATCTTGCGGTATGGCATCAACCAAGGACAGAAATGTAATCGTTACGTGACATATGTAAAATTCCAAACGCGACGTTAAGTCGTTTGGCGATGACCGAGGACAACCGACATTGCCAATTCATTACTGAATTTTATTTCTGTACGATACACATATGCGTGTCTTAATTAAACACAAGGAAGAGATTACTGTGAGGTCAGGTGCGTATAAAGTAGCCCCTAAATTATCAATACCTATATTATTGCACAAATATTAGTGATTATCTGAAGGCTATACTGAGCCTGCTAGTTATAAATTGTTTAAAGAAGGCATTAATAATATTGTACAAAAAATAATAATATAATAGAGTATTGAGCATCTAGTGACCGATTAAGAATCGTATAAAAGATAGAAGAATCTCCTACTGTAGTGGTGTAAGAGAGAAAACTTTTCCTCTCGTTCGTCAAGCCTGTCCATCGATAACGGCCGCGGTTTCTAGTGAAACCACGTCTTTGTCCCTTCGATGCGTAACCTTGGTCGTGCAGAGAATGGTCGAAACAGCTGTTTCAAGTGGGAGGCCTCTCGCGAAACACAATGGCGTTCACGTGAGGCGCAAACGTTTATTAGCCGACGCGGCGGGGGGGGGACGAGAGGAGACGTAGCGATTTATAACCAGCAACATAAGTAGCAGCGGCACCAGCAACGGCCGCAAGAGACGGCAATAGCTGGACTCACCATGGCACGGCCCGAAGGTCGCGTGACGTCGATACGATTGCGTCTTATTAGGAGTCACCGCGTGTTCAACTTTACGTAGGAACGCGATGCTTGTGCGCCGACGCATTCCTGCAACTAATTAGCTCCAGTTGTATTTGTCGGGACATTCGCGCGCAGCGCTTCTCTCTGGAGAGAAGATCCATACGCCGCTTTTCAGACTCTTCTTCATCTTCTCTTGTCTAGCTGCGCGTTTTCACTTCTACTACCGCTACATTGTACACTTTAATGTGATTTATAGGTCCATTCCTCTCAGTATCTCGTCATCCTACGCCTTCCTGCCTTCTTTTTCCTTCTACTTTTCCTAGAGGAAATCCGCTCGAAAAATAATGGATATTATTAGATTTACATGAAATAATTTCTTCTTCCGTACATACAGATGGAAATAAAATTTTCATCGCTGCAGCTAATCATCAAATTTATTACAAGTCACAAATTTTACAGCTATAATTAAAATTGGCTACACGGCTGAAGTCTAGGTATCCATACGTTAGAATTGAAATTTGACTACCCCTCTCACACACAAATTCTTGCTGCTGTAACTAATCTTTTTTGTATAAGCATGCCTAAATTATATTTCACGTGGAACAGCGAAAAACGGTGTTTTCTTTAATAACTTCCTGGCAGGGGGGACTAGTATTTATACTATATTATATACGTCATTTCTATTTGTCGGGGCGTGCAAACGCTTATTTCACAAGCAGAAAATTTTCAATACGATTTCCACGGAGAGTCACGTACGCGCACGTATTACGCTGTACCTTTTATCTCCTGTTTTTACGATTCGCCTATACGTTTCCCCCCTTCTTGTCTCCCTTGATGCACGGTGCACGGTCTTTTATGGTCGCTCGTCAAGACATCGCGACGATGGTGACACTGTACGTCCGTCAGGATCGCGCACCTGCAAGGAGGTCAGGTTGCGCGACATTACACTCGGCCGTGAAAGCCTCTATTGAGAGGATGGCAGATGCATATACGCTAGCATTAATTTATATGCGTAGAGCGATATTTCTTCAAACTACCATTTTAATATTCGATAATTTTCAACTTGGATTTATAAACGTAACTTTTTTAACTTTTTCACGTAAACAATTGAAATTTTCATAATTTCCTCACATTTTATATACTATGTACTCGATGATTTGAAAAGGACAGATGTCAATTTATGAGATTGCGACTAATTACTTTAAGGTTAATACCATTAAATTTTATGTTAATAAAAAGTTTCGTTTTACGAGTCATTAAAAAATATCAAGAGTATATAGAGAGAGGACTTGATGCTTCCTCGTAATTCCCTGAACTTCTAGCTGGTTCTCGCGTTCCCTTCGAAGTCAGAGCATCCGACGAGGACCCAGAGGCTTGGGGTACAAGAAGAAGATATTCTTCCTGCGGTTCGCCGCTTGTTCCGCCGGTGGCAACGGGCGAGCGGTGACCTCCGTACCCCACGGGAGCAAGAAAGACAGAAGGACTCGAGAAGAGAGCACACACCGAGAAAGGGGCGAGAGGGACGAGAGAAGAAAGAAGAGAAAGAGAGAAGGAGTAAAGGTGCGTTCCTGCGTGACGTAGCTTTCGCAGGCCATCACGCATATGTTACCCTCCGCGAGGGACACGTACGCGCTTACAATACGATCCGCGGGGTCATTCCACCGAGTCCTCTCGGACACCTCTTCAGCTTCACCGTCACCGCCATCGTCCCCGTTGTTACGAACTTTGTTCCACGTTCCTCATTCGCTATTTTCTCAATTGGCGTCCTCTCGAAAGCCATGTCTTTCCTAAAATGCACCCGCATTTTGCACGTGCGTTCGATTACCATTCGGTTATTTCAAAGGAAAATTTTTCTTTAAATCTCGAAAAATATCGTCCTTTTTTCTTTTACAATTTTATTACAAAAATTGGATATAATTTTCGTCAGACATAAATGAACGATGACATGACGAACCAAATAGAAAGATTTTCATGGGGGGGCTTTGTGAATTTTCTCTTCTCTCTCCAAAAAATAACGTAAATAAACTTTGGAAATAAACCTTTAGTGTAAATGTATGCTGTTTCATACATAAAAAAAATGAAAATATTCTTACATGCAAAGAAAACTGCTTAGTTTTTCTCTTGCAAGGAGAAGAATGCTCACACGATAAATTGAATTTACATGTCCAATAACATGATGCAAATCTTCCATTGCATCGAGTCGTACGTCTTGGCACCGTTTCTCTTCGTAGCTCTCTGTCTTTTTTCTTCCCGGACACGTACGTTTAACAAGAGAGCGAAGCAGGTTGCGGGCGGATGACAAACAAAGAGCACCGTGACCTCGTCGCCTTGTGCGTGAGGTGCGATTAGCGCGAACGACTCTCTCGCGCGTGCGAGCGAGCAAACGAGTGAGCGAGCGAGTCGTCGGGTCGGTCGCGAAAGATGTGGGAGGAAGGCAAAGAGAAGGAAGCACGCGCTGATGAAGGAAGGATAGACGAAGGAAGAAAGAAGTCGGGTACGTAAGCCGACCAAAGGTCGAGTGCTGACCACGAGTCATCTCGGTTGCGACAACTCGCGCTGTTGTTAACTTTTGCGTGTCTCGCTTCGTTGTACAAAATGTAAACGTATCTTTCACGTGAGAATTCGAATTTTTCAAGAAAGATTGTCCAGGAACGTAGAAAGAGTATTGCAAGAATACAAAACGGAAAGATATTAAGACATATATACATATATTTTTTTCTATTATTTTTAATAATCTATATTAATGCCTTGGATTTATTTCTGAGAATCGATTAAAGCCGATACGCCTACAGATATAAACAATTGAGCGAACGTTTTTAAAAGGCAGACAGGACAGGTCGCGCGCAGATGAAACTCAAGACAACTACGTGCGCGATGAGTGATTAGTGTTAGATTATCTCACCTGCGAAGTCACCGAGAAGGTCAGAGCGTGACGATAGAAGAACAAGAAAAGAAGCGATGGACTGGAAGCAGGTACTTTACTCGATCAAAGGTCGAGTCTCGCGTATAACTTGCCGTGGCATCGATAAACGAGTTCCCTATCGCGCTTTCCATTTTCGCTCGTGGAGATGGCATCTCGCCATATGGTGGATGAATGAGGCACATACGGGGAATTAACGTAAGAAGTTATTAACAAATGGATAGGTAACAAATAACAAGGCTATTAAATTCCTATTATTCCGCGTTAAGAAGTGTTTTGTTGATAAGCATATAAGCATATATAGAAAGAAAATACTACGAAGGAGTGGAACCGTAATGAGGCTAAAGGATGAACGGTTAAATGCAATCGAATTGTAGAGGCTACAAAGTCAAAGTTAGCTACACGATGCGACGGAAACCGCAAATCTATAGCGGTGATAATATCGTCTCTATCACGAGCGATTATGATCATTAATTAACGCGCTCTCGCAGCATCATCAGTTTGATTTTTCTTCTCTCGTGTCAGCCGTATATACATGCCGCTAATTGCCACGTGGCGCAGGTGACTGGAAGAACGGAACATCTCGACAATGAAGCTCAACAGGTTGCCAGCGGATAGCAGCGAGCTCGACTACTACCGTATGAGCGGCAATTAGCACGGGCGATTCTTTCACGTATAACATCAGCGAGGAAAAAACTTGAGGAAACTTGCGCGAACGCATCCGCATGGAGAGTCTAAATCACTTGGTTGCCAAGTCCCACGACAAAAAGCGCAGTGGTTTCGCAAAACGAGATGTGGCTATAGAATAAATTAACGCATTTCTAAGCGCATTGTTCATTGGCATGTTCCTCGTGCAACTGTCATTCCTCGATATTACTGCAGCAGTTTTATGGAACGATGGTCCGGAGAATTTTACGGGGGACTGTACGCTACCGAGTCTCGGCAAGCAGTTAGCATTAGGCACGATGACGAAGAAGGCCAGGGACTCGGTGAGATGATAGCGAGCGCGTTCGCTGACGGCTCACATCGGTCACACCGCAGGTGACTCGTCGCTGTCGGAGCCTGGCCTCTGCCCGACCTACGTACCTGATTCTATCCAGTGTCCTTCTCCGTCATCTCTAACTCCCGTTTTCTCTCTCGTGCAGAATCCGCGAGCCGCGAGCTCTACTAAA